AGAATGTTCTGTTTAAAATGGAAATGACTCTTTTCGGGCCAAATGAAGTTTCCCACTAGAAGCTATAAGATAATGATTAATGGACTATGTTTTCTGCAGACAGTGGACAGGCAGGTCTTGGCTGCAATGAGTAAACTACCAACGCCAGAGCCCAGCTGGTGCTGAACAGACCCTCAGCCACACGCCTTTCGAGTGGGCCATGAAATGTGGCTTGTTCTTATTTAATCCCATGTGTCTGAAGTTACTGAACATAAACTGTCCTACTGCCAGTGCACCCCATGAACCAGGCAGACCTCAGTCCGAGGGCAAGTCCTCCTTAACATACTCGGTGAGGGCAGCAGTCAGCCATTAGTATCCTTCAACCACCCTAATCGCACCAGTGGGCATGCTGGCATCAGACATGTCTTGCCATTGATTCTGTTCAGACTGATGCCAGAGCCATGACTGGTGAGTAGGCCATTACCTCTTTTATAAACAAGAGCCCTCTGCTGGTAAAAAGTGTAATTAGTTTTCTTTTTTTCCCTGTCTTTCTTTTACACATTGTTATTACACTATACATTGTATATATTGCATTTTGCTGGGTTCCACACAGTCGATTTGTGTTGGGACAACATAAAGGTATTAAGTTAACTTATTAGCTTTTACACATTTTAGTGAACTGAACATAAAACAATTAAGTTGTCCCAAATAAAAACTGAAGAATTGTGCTGTTGCAGCTCATTTTAAATAAGTTATTTTAATTAATTTTTTGAGTTTATATTTTGAAATATAATTGTGCACATATTTACAATACTATTGTAAATATATTATATCCATATAATTTTACAAAATTATTTTAAGCATTTTCACTTCAAATGTGCATCTGTTTTTTAAAGTACATGAGCACACACCAAACTCTGTATAGAATATTGAAACATTAAGAACAATTGCTTTAAAAATACTGCATACCTTATACTTTATACAGGGTGGGCCATTTATATGGATACACCTTAATAAAATGGCAATGGTTGGTGATATTAATGTCCTGTTTTTGGCACATTAGTATATGTGAGGGGGCTTGTTAATAACTCATGAAAGAATAAAGTTACGTTTGAAACCAAGCGCACCATTGTTTTTCTTGTGAAATTCCCAATACGTTTATTGAGGTGTATCATCCATATAAATGGCCCACCATGTACACTCACTGGCCACTTTATTAGGTACAAGTTACTAGTTCTGGGTTAGCCCCTCTTTTGCTTATAGAACTGCTTTAATTATTTGTGGTGTAGACTCAACAAGGCGTTGGAAACTTTCTTTCTCCATATTGACACATGACACAGTTATTGCAGATCTGTCGGTTACAGATCTATGGTTTAAATTTTCCATTCCAGGACATCCCAAAGGTGCTCCCCTGGATTGAAATGACTGAGGAGGTCATTGAGTACAGTGATATGTCCATCCTAAAAAAAATCTTACATTTAAATTATGTGTGTTCATATCAAGTTGTTAGAGCAGCTGACTGTAGTTTACTGGTAATGTAGTAACCAACAGTAAACTAAGCATATTGGGAGACAGGTTATAAATGTCCTGGCAGTGTAGCTCGCAATTTCTGAAATAATGCTGTTAACTGCCACAGAAGAAGAAATGGAGAATTTTTGATGAGTGCCCTGTCACAAGGACATTAAGTTGACCACTATACATACAGAAAGGTTATAGTGACCATACATAGTAGACTGTGGCTACGACATTTCAGAATGTCAGAGGGCACCTTTGAAATATTGTCAAGCATTATTGGTCCAATTGCACCAGAAAGACACCATAAGCACCGACACCTGATTAGACCTGTGGGTGTAATATTTGGTATGTTGAAGTGTTTTCAGCAAATGCGTTTCCATCTTTCTTTATTTGCATCTTTATTGGTTTTTACAACAGTCTAAATCAACCTCAATGAACTGTAAAAACTTTTTTTTGCAAATTATGTATTTTTTTTATTTGCCATTTCCACTCTTTTCTCTCACAGTACACTCTCAATAATGGTACAAAATCTGTCACTGGGCAGGTACCTTTTCAATAAGCACACTTTTGTTTCTAACAGGTCTTTAAAGGTACATTTCAATCCCTAAAAAGTACAAATGTGTACCACACAGTACCTTAAAGTTACAAAAAGTGAACCTTAAAAGTTTAAAAGTGTACCCTAAATGTACTAATGTTCACCTGTACCTTTTGAAAAGGTACCACCCCAGTGACAGATTTTGTATCTTTATTTCTGAGTGTGTGCTTCAGAATGAGCATTAACACATGGTGATGGAAACCCAGTTACTGTCATGCTCAAGACACTAGAGATTTAATCTTGATCTTGATTTGATTTTGATATGGTGTCTTATCCTGTTTTAAGTAGCATAATAGGATTTTATAACACTTTGGTCGTAAAGAATGAACAGTGTCATAAACAATAATCTTCAGGTTATGGTGTTTAAACTATGCTCAGCTGATATGTTTCCACTGAGTGGCTTTAAATAGATTAAATGGTACTCTACCACAGTGTTTTCTAACCCTGTTCCTGATGGCACACCAGCAGTATACTGTACATTTTCAACCTCTTCCTAATCAAACACACCTGAATCAACTCATGCAAACATTAGAAAGGACTCCAAAACCTGAAATTAATAGTTCAGATAAGGGAGACATCCAAAATATGTTCTGTTGGTGTGCCTCCAGGAACAGGGCTGAAAAAAAAAACTGATCTACTAAATCATTATTCCATGTTTAGTACCATACAGTATGGCACACGATTATTTTAATTTCCACTGTCAAAGGTTCCAAAAAAGCAAACTTTTTTGGCACCATTTTTTAAGGGTAGCTAGCACAGCAGTACGGGTTCCAAAAAGATGGAGCTAGACTTGCTGCTCAACAGTATTGGTTTAGAGAGAATTGTCACGAGCGCAAGTAACAATCCAGGAGAAAGACAACAAAAAATCACTATTTTTAATGCACAGTTGAAACACGACATCTTAATGGTGTGAGGGGCTTTGACAAACCAACTGTTGTAATCTCTCTTTGACACTTTAATCGACGGTTGCACCAGTTTTGCACATTTGCACCAGACACTTTTTTTTTTTTTTTTTTAAATCGCTTATCTATTAAAAAGAACATTGTGCATTTATGAAGTGTGCTTCACACAGGTGCAAGGGCTTGACAAACCACCTGTAGAGACGCTCTTCTCTCTTTAAAATAAAATAAGCTAGTCCTTACTTTAGCACTTAATTTTCTGAGCACTAACAGTTCCTTTGTTTAATTGTTTAATTAACTTCTTGTGTGTAAGTAAAAATTGCACTTGCCTCTTCTTGTTGAATCGCTGAGCACCTCTCTATAATTGTGTCACTTTAGACAAAAACATCTGTTAAATGACTAAATGTAAATGTAATATTACAATGATTATGTGCAGCAGTGAACCATTTTCAAGCAAATCTTGTTGTCATCTTCTAACAAAGAGCCTTATGTCAAGAAGCAAGAAGCTGTCCTTTATTGTCGTTTACCGGGCTGTTCATGTTGCAGCTTTCTCTCTTTATTTGTGCATGCTTGCCACGTGTCTACATGTGAAATAGTGAGTTGGCAGAAAACGTGATATGTGAACGACCATATAGCTTTCTTCTTTAAGTGAGAATGACATTAATCACAACTTTCTGACATACACCACAACTACTGGGTAAGAGTACAGTTAATGGACTATTAATGGGAGTGGAAACATAAAGCTGATGAAAGTGACCCATGCTAAACTACTGTTCTGAACTAAATCACACTTATGAATGGAAATTAGGCATAAGTGGTCCAAAGTGTGTCGTTATACTCACACTATTATACCTGGGCTGTTGAGAAAAGACTGGATGAATTCATGCTTTCATGTTATTAACACCAGTCTGACCTATTCTACTGAATATCATAGCAGAAATTAACAACTAGACCAGAAAACCTTTTTTTCCATTGTTCTGTTGCTTGATTCTGGTAAGCCGTTGTGAATTATTGCCTCAGTCTCTGGTTCTTAGCTGTCTTCTGCTCCATTAGCTGATCTGCTTCAAGATTCATCATGTTGTACATTAGACATCGACTGTAACAAGTGATTTGCGTCACTGTTGCCTTTATCAGCTTGAACCAGTCTGGCCAATCCAGTAGATAAGCAGTTTCCAAAATTTCAATAACCCTGTCAGTTTATGGTCCTTCTTTTCTATGCTGATGTCTTAACTGTTTCATTCTGCTTGACTAAATGCAATGAGTTGCTGCCATGTGATTGGCTAATTAGATATTTGCATTAACAAGCAGTTGAACAGGTATCTCTGTGGGGTTGCAGTGAGTGTAACATATATGTATGTATATATAGTGTTTTAATTTGAGTTTTAATATTTATTAGTAATTTCAGGTATACAGTAAAGGCTTTTCTCCTTAAAGCACTTTGGTTTTGTTTTGGTAATTTTGAAAGAGCTAAATAAATAATTTGAGTTGACATTCTATAAAAAAAAAGATTTGACAGAGTTTTTTGATCAGTTCAAATTTGTAATTTAATTGTGCCAATTGAAAGCAATATCTATGAATATCTGTACAGTATTTATATTTTTTGTATTTGAAATGAGTAAAGCAAAAGCGGGCTGGAGTAGTTTACGGAAAGTATTCAGACCCCCTTAAATTTTTCATTTTTTATTATATTGGAGCCATTTGCTAAAATTATTCATGGACAGCACTTGAGTTTAGTATATGAGTGTTACAGCAAGGGGTCTAAATATTTAAGACCATGTGATATCTCAGTTTTTTCTTTTTTAATTAATCTGCAAAAATATCAACAAGGCTTGTGTTTTTTGTCAATATGGGATGTACATTAATGAGGAAAAAAATTACTTAAATGGTTTTAGCAATTGGCTGCAATATAACAGAGTGAACAAATTAAGGGAGTCTGAATACTTTCCATACCCACTATAGATAGATAGATAGATAGATAGATAGATGGATAGGTAGATAGCAAATGTTTAATGTCAAGAGAAGTAAATAATTAGTTATTTTATATACTTACACATAAATGTCTATAACTTTATTATTATCTACAAATTGGAAAGTAATGCTAAAACAGATTAAGTAGATGTGCCTAAAAATGTGACAGGAAGTGTGCCCTAAAGTAATGGTTTACCAACATTTTTAAATGGCTGTTAATTTACTTACCTTCAGGCTATTAAGATGTAGATAACTATTTAAATTCAGTACAGCATTAAAGAAGAATTATAGCTAAAACCAACATCCTTGATGACTCATAAAATGCTAGTCAGCAGTTACTGACACAAGTGAAAAATGAAAATTACAAGCAAAGCTAAATTAATACCCTTAGCTTTAAACGATACATTGAGAACTTCTGAAGCAAAACAATGAGCCTGTGCGTGGAACTGGACATTATTTGCCTCTGGCTATTGACCATCAAAATGATTCTTGTGGTTCTCTTTGCAGCCTTGAAACTGCTGTATATTAGCAATATAATTTATGCTTTATTTCATTATGGAAGAGTTTTTAGAGGTTCCTAATGTTTGATATGCTTCATTATGTGACAGGAAACGGGCATTTGCTGAGGCTGTAGATTAAATGCAATAATGCAAGAAGTTTTTTTTTTCTTTTTGACCTCACTGATCATTACATTTAAGTCTTATATCTATTGTCTGGTTTTGTCTAATTATTTTGTTTACGAGGACCAATTTCTAAAATATTGGATGAACATCTGAAAAAAAAAATCCTCCATCTTGGATGACCCGATGGTGAGTAAATGACGTTTCAACATACATTTATTGCTATCTGTTTGTATATTTACATAAATTCACCTGCTCATAAAATCCGTTCACACAATCACTTCTGATTACACTCCCCAAAGCCCATTAACTTTTATATCCTCTTAAATATTAGCTAATGCAATATCAAAAGCTGATTCCGTCATGAATCTTCTACACCCAATCTTCTCAGCTATTGTCCTAAAGCTGTTTATTCAGGCAGCAGAGGGAGGAGTGTGTGTGGCTGCATGAAGGGAGGAGTCGCGCACCTGTGAATCTACACCTGCTTGCCAGAGAGAAGGACAGGACAGCCAAACCGGGGAAGAGGCAGGAGACCAGAGATACACCGAAACTAATTCAGATCCAAAGAATAAAGAGGGTCCTACAGGCCGATGACCTCACCTGCTGGCATCAACCAGATTGAGAACTGAACTGAAGGATAGTGAACCCTCAAAGGCAGATAACAAACAACTGTCACAACGGACGTACCTTTACCTGTACAGGTGAGAGAGACTTATAACTAGATATGACCTGTCTGGAAAATTCTGTGGAATGACATCCAGTTGCAGTTAGTTAATTTATAATTATACTGATTAAAGTGTACAGATAAAAGTCTTCTAAAAGGAATAAAAATGATAAAGTGGGAATGCTTTTTAATGGGAATAAAAAGTTCTACCCTAAAAATAATTGATTAGAAGGAAATAGTTTTGAAGTTCTGGAACAAAAAAGGTATACTGATAGCTGTGAATTTTAATGACCTTTGAACAGAAGACACATTTGATTACACATTTATAGCAAACAGTGAACCTTTATCACTGACTAGCGAGCCGGTGTGTGTGTGTGTGTGTGTGTGTGTGTGTGTGTGTGTGTGTGTGTGTGTGTGTGGGGAGAGGGTATCATTGCAATCAAGTGAACACTTTGAAATGCAAAACATTTCTTTCAGTTGTGTCAACAGTACAAGTTCAGCATGCTCGATGAACACCTTTGTAATGATGTTGAATTTACTTAACCATCTTGACAAAAACATTTGGGAGGCATCCTTATTTGACCATTTGTTGCTTTGAATTTAAATTAAATATATTCTAGCATTGATAATAAAAGAAATTGATTTAAAATGAGCATTTTTCCAAAGAATAGTGGTATATTCATAAAGTAAAATAAATGATTCCATTATTGAGGACGTTTAAGTGAAGGAAGTAAAATTGTTACGAATTTACATGCAAACGCAGTAGAGGTTAGTGAGTGTAATGCCTTCTTGATTTGTTTACCATGTGCTTGAATATTTGTATTCAAACACAAATATTCCATTCTCCCCACTGGAAAGGAAAATTAAAACCTTTTTTGTTTAGTTTCTCCTGGACTATTAAATTCCAGTTATCACATGTCTAATTTGAAAAGAGAACTCTGCTCAGATTAGTCTCAAAGGCCAGAGATCTCGCTAGCTCAAACATTTCTAATTTTGTTTGTCAAAATGAATGTAAAATAATTTAATCACATTCATTTAATAGCTTTACACTTACTTTATGTCAGGGGTGGATGTTTGATGTTTAATCAACATTTGAAACCACTTTAATATTTATTTGATATTTTCAAATCGTCTACTTCACTGAAGTACTAAGCAATGTATTTTTTTCTTTGTAGTTTACCCTGAGTCCAATTTTCTTTTTCAGTCTAAAAATGATGGGTTGTATTAACTCAGCATTGGGTCAAATATAGATGAAGCCAACGTTTGGGCTAATTTCAAAATGCATTGAAAGTTTTCACATAAAGGTTTTGGGTTTGTCATATCTTACCCAATGTTGGGTTAATATATTTTGCGTGTACTTATTTCCCAAAAGAGTTTTCAGCAATGCCATAAGCAGAACCATTCCCCTCAAACCCCTAAAGAAATTTCATGAGAAAAATTAAAAATATGTAAGTTCTATTCTGGAATCATTGGTTCCTTAAAGAACATGTACCATTCCTTTAATGGTTATTCAATGGCATGAGTGCAAAATCCCAGGGTGTAGTTATTTAAGAACCCACTTTGGTGGACACATTTTATATAGAATTCAGTACTTAAATAACTTGTTTAGTTTTTTACAAATAAATCATCTAAAACAGATTCCTGTTTAAAGGATCTTAAAACATTCAATGTTCTTCAAATAAATAACCTCGATTTTTAATGTATTCTGTTTACAACTTAATAAGAAAGATAGATGTATAATTGTCACAAAAATCTATGTAAGAAAAACCTATAATAGTCTGTAAATTAAACGCATGCACTTTTTGTGCCTACAGAATGGGCTAAATACAAGTAAATGTTTTCTTAAAACTATTTTGTACACCACAGTTCTTATCACTTGGCTACTTTTACGCAGTATGTACCTAAAGTCCCTCAGAGAGCAACTGTTCCCGAAGTGAAGCTCTCCAAGGGCCTTTAGTTAACACCTGATGTTTTTTTTCCAACCACCGACAGGAATAATTAATTCATCGAGAAATCTGCCGAGATTAATATTTCTCATGAGAGCTTTTTGTTGAAATGCACTTTGTACTAAATGTACTTTGTGTTCTTTTTATTGTGATACAGAGAAGTTGTGATTTCTAGAGAAACTACATTGCCTGTACTTTGCGTGACAAGACAAATCAGACATTTTGTTTAGTGACACAATCAGGTTTTTTTTTTCAAAATAATCATAGTTAATCTGATTTTTTTTTTTATAATGAGCAGAATGTTCCTGCTGACCATTTACATGTTCCCGGAAAGAACCAGCCTTTCCTCATGATCAATGATTTCCCTGAGCCTTATCATATTTTTATCTTCATATGAAAACTACACACACAACAGCATTGCGTTTGTCAGCAAGACCATGTGGTTTGCCATGATGCTTTCCTTTGCATGCAAAGTGCTTCCTTATCTCAGTTCTGACTATTCTTCCCATGGCACAAACTGATGTTATATTAGTCCATTTGAGTGCCGTAATATTACAGCTTTATATCTCAAAATCTATGAACTGCACTTTAAATGTGATCAAATGCTAAATAATCTGCAAAAACAGTCAAAAATCAAACTGGTTTCATTGCCATCACCCTTTTAACCGCCTTGCCAAATACTTTTACAATATGCATACTTGTAACTTTTCAAATATAGAGGCAATACAACAAGGTTTATTATTAAAACCATCTGGATTAAAGGTCTTCTTTTTAAAAGGTTTAAAGCGGTGAAAAAACAAAGCTGTGAAAGGGAGCTGGCCGGCACCACCTGATCTCTGTTTGCTCTCGTAAACATAAAAGCAAGAGCAAGAGTCAAAGCCATGAGAGAGCGAACAGAAATTAGCATACTGTATGAAAATGACCACTTTGTTGCTAAGCAACAGAGCCAAGCCTTTCCTGTAAATGGATCGTGCCACACGCTACAGCAGTTTAGTGTGAATTTGAGTGTGCGACTTTATTTTCACTTTTCACAAAAGGCCGCCTCAGTTTCGAGAGAGATACAATCAAGGACAGAAAAGCAATAAAAATGTTCCAGGGTATCACATTCTAGTTCTGAGTATTTGTGTATTGTTGTCTTTGTGTGAATAAGCATGTGGCAAACCTCACAATACCAGAGGAAGTTTCATCTGGACAGTGTTTCGCTGTGTATGTCAAAGGCGTGCTTGCTTTATTGTAATGGTTTACTTCAAAGAAGCCATTGTAGCTTGTGGATGAACCGTGCACGCTCTCTGGACTGTGAACTCTTAACATAAAAATGGACTGCCTAAAATCACATAAATGAGTGAGTCATGTAAAGTCCATTTGCTGTGAGCAAAGCTTCAACACCAACAAAAACAATCCATTTGTCCCGATAAGTAAAGTCTAAGATTTACAAAGCATTTGTACCAGTGAAAATTATGTAAAAAACATTTGACGGTAAAACATTAGTGATGGGCACAGGGAATTTTGTGTGCATTTGTAGAAATTTCCTATTTAGAAACAACAGGATATACTCATGCCACATAATTTTCTAGGTTTTGAGGTAATTTGAGTTTACTGGTATTCATTTCATTATTTTACATCTCAAAATAGAAAGTTGTAACTCATTCCCTGCCTGTGTTAATGGTAGGTTACACACACCTATTGTCATTAACTCTTTATCAGTGCCTAATTTGCTGGTTTATGCACTGCATTAGACATCATGAAACTGATTTGTTGTGTCTTTGTGTTTCTTTTATTTCTGCATCTTTAGAATATTCACAGAACTCTTCTATCAGCACTTTTATAGGATTGCACGCTCTGGTGTTAAGTAAATCTCTCCTTCCCAGCAAGCACTTTTTGCTTTCAAAAGATGTCTAATAGATGTCTAAACATAGTTGTCTTGGCTAAAACAAGGTTGAATTTGCGCTGTCTGAGAAAATCAACGTATAAGAATAGGCCAAATCTAGACTAGTCATCAAAAAACAGAAATGAATGACTGCACTTATAGTCTGTCGATTCTGTCTATTTGACGACTAGTCTAGTTTTGAGCTATTGTCTATTAGATTTTCAGTTTAGTCTTGTTTTAGCCAAGCTGTCTACGTTTAGATGTCGATTAAACAAAAAAATTGTTTGTTGGGTTATATAGTACAGTAAGCCTGGCACAAATCTCAGTTGTCACAATGAGTTTGTTCAGTCAAGGACTGCATGGAGGAAGTTTTACAAACGTATATAAAGTTGGGTTTTTAAAAGTTTGCCATATTGTTGGATCCATTTAACAAAATGATGCTGATTTTAGTGTAAATACAGGCCCAGTTACAGTATGTGTGCAGTATGAACTGTAAAAAAGAAAAATAGTAACACATTAAAATAAGGCCTCTTTAATGAATGCATAAACTAGTCTGGTGGTTCCCAAAGTGGGGGTTGTGGGACATTGACAGGGGGTCGCTTGGTGATTTCCAGAAGTCAAATAAATTTTATTACACTATTAGTATTGGCATATTTTAACCATAACCCACAGAAGATACAAACAATAGTTAATAGTAAAAATCAACAACATGCAAATAAAAAGCCATCAGCCTTTAAATTATTTTTTTCATAGGATTGGTGTGTTTACGTTAGATTTACAACACCGCAAAAGCATCAGCTGGAGCACATTGATTTTATAGCACCAGGTTAAACTTTCTGACACCTTCATGACAATTAAATATATCAAAAATAAATACAGGCCACAACTGAACATAAAAGACTATCTCCGAGTGGCGGTCTCTACAATTAAACCAAGAAAACACTGTGTCTACCATTCTCATTAGTTGAGGTTAATCTTAAATTAAACAAATTAATGAATGAATATAAAATGATATGGTTGTTAGACTGTTGCACTTTTTGTGTTGTCAATATGTTGGTGTTTATGTAAGCCTATTTTTGTGTGAGCAACATTTGTATATTTTTTAACTGAGAAATTTGGGGGTCGCGAGTCACTGGCATTGTTATTTTAGGGGTCACGGGCTGAATAGTGTCGGAGCCCCAGAACTAGTCTGCTTACATGAATTGTTTTTAACATTAGTCACACACACACACACACACACACACACACAAACACACACACACACACACACACACACACACACACAAAAACATTCACAATCAGAATTGTTTCTTTATAATTAAATCTGCATATTAAAAAGATTTTTTTCAAGGATCGTGTGAAGACTGGAGTAATAACGCTGAAAATTTTGCTTTAACACTACAGGAATAAATTAGATAATAATCATATTATTTCACAACATTAATTATATTTATTATTCCAATGCTAATAATAATCCAAAATTATTCCAATATTATTGATCCATTAACCAATACATAAAAAGTAGCAGCTAAGCTCCTTAGCATTAGCATGAACTACGTTGTGCATTTCCATCCTACTGCCATATAGCTGCAGATCAGTGTGCGAAACATGAGGCCTGTAACTGAATCTGTACAAGTTAAAACCTAGCATACCTCTACCATATGGTGCTTATTGAATTACACTAAAAAATTCATTAGCGGCTGTCCCTTCTAATATAAGAAACAGATCTTACATTAACATTAGCTCACACTCTCAGAGCTCGGTTTACACTTTATGACTATTCTTATTACCCGTCTTCTAATAAACAAAAGCAACATGTTCCCTTTCTTATTTAGGCCTGCTGTTTTTGTGTTTAATCACAGATATATCTCTCATTCTGTCCTTTTCGCAGAAACTGCCATTAACACAATGGCGACCGCAGAACCTGCCCCAGCCTGGTGGAAACTGACCTTCCTGCGAAAAAAGAAATCGGAGCCAAAAGTGCTGTATGAAATCGCAGGAGACCACAGCAGCAATGGCGGAGAGGCATCTGGGACCACTGATGCTGCAACAGACAGCCAGTTTAATGCCCGCTTGGAGCGCATTGTGGACAAAACAGCAACAAAGGGGCGACATGTGAAAGTCTCGCATTCAGGTCGCTTTAAAGAGAAGAAACGAATCCGCTCTACTCTAGCAGAAAACCCTGAGCTTTTCCCTGAGGCCGAAACGACAGCTAATGAGAACAATAAAAGTGGAAAATAGAGTCGCTGTGTAAACACACTAGCATGTGTGTGTAAAGCAGCTCAAGAGGGCCAGCACTCTTCCAATTGACGTCCTCTGCCGTTTACAATCGCCTGAAGCTCTGAGCCTGAAGCAAGAGCAGGATCGCTGAATTAATGACTGATCTATACTGATGTTTGGTAACAAAGACATGCACAAACCCAAAGATCAGGTTTCTTCACAGATACACACAGCACCACTGCATTGTGGTCGACCCTTGAAAGGCTGACATTTAGCAAATGTTTAGCAAAGAGAAGGAATCAAACCAATCATATAGCAGCACAAGATGTCAGTAATGATAGTGGTTATTCTTTGATTATTTCTTATATATTATATGGTGAATCAGTTGCAGCTAGAGCACTTGTGATTCAACATATTAAAAAATTATTACAAGCATTGTGCTACAATGTTAAAAGGTTTTTTAGTAATGTCTATTCCAAATTTATACTGTAATTATATTAAACATAGATTGCTGGTATCTTTGAAAAACTAAATAAAAACAAAGTGTCATCATTGCTTGAATAGACCAAAATATATATTCTGAATAATAACTCTCTTGCTATAATACACAATTTTAGCCTCTTGTGTTGCTGTGTCGGGTTTCATTTAGATTTTTAATCTTGGTTGCTATTTATTGTACAGAGATTTTATAAAATGTAATCTGAAAATGGAGGGGGTTTATAATTGCTTTTTGTTTAATAAAATGGTCAAACATTTGCACAATGTCTAATTTAATAGTTTGCTTAGCTGTGATTAAACACTTAGTTTTGTACAAATGTATGCATTGTTTCAAATATACCTCTGTAGAAAATAAATTATTGCTTTCAAGATGTGGATTTATCTTTTATTCTGTATTTTTTCTTTTGAATTTTTCTATGTAAAAGCCTAAGAAACATTACCTACAACTTGACCTTCCTGGAAGTGGCTTCCAATTCTCCTTTGTTTCTACTCGAGTAGTTTATCCCTTTAATTATTTTTGTCAACCGCTAAGAACAACGATCTTCCTTTTTTGTTTTTCCAAAACAATATTTCCGAGGCAAAACTCGTGTTTTTAGTTTTTGTACCAGAAGAGGGCGATAAAACCAACTTTTTCCGGAAATTGCAGACGACCTTCCCTGAAATGACTCATACATGCTTTTGTGTTTGTTTTGACTTTGTCCTCACGAAATCTATTGGTCACTTATTGATACCGATATACACATATAATGTTGATATTTATTTGATATCTATCATACTTGACAAAACAGTACACCACAATACACTTAATGCCAAGCCATGTCAGTTTAATGACTTCAAAATAGATCACAAAATAATCATAAAATATTTCTGAACTGATCTAAAATTGTTAAAGGTTAAATTTCCAACTCAAAATTATACAAAACTGATAAAAAGTGATGGATCTATATGCTGTCTGTGCTCAACAACACAAGACGAAACGCTCCGGCGGAAGGATATGTCTGGGTGGTACTGCGTCCTATATAAACTTGAAACGCGTCGTCGCCGGCAGATCCGTTCTCTTGCAAAGCTGATTGTTGTTGAAAGCCGAGCGATTCTGCTCTCCGCCGAAATGGCCGTGTGAACTGCAGCCTGTAGACAGCGCGCAAACAACTCAGTGCATCAACATAGTGCACTGGTTCAGTACATTTATATCAAAATGGCGTAAGTATAATTTTTTTGATTGTTTTAAAATGTTACGTCGTGTCTGGTAGCCGGCGAGACGGAAGTGTTGCGTTAGAAGTTCAGCCAAATAAGCATTAATGTGTCCAGTTTATTTTAGTCGTGATTGTCAAACAATGTATTCATATTATGTTTATAATAGATCATGGTAAATGGTTTCTGTGAAAATGGGGTCATTACATGTCGTCTGGAGTCGGGTTTAGCGCGCCATGTGTCAACCTGACAATGACAAGATCATTCGATGAATTTATAGTCATTTCTGCTTTAAAATCCACTTTAACGTATATGTTTTATTTAGTAAATGAGTGTCAAATCTCTCAGATAATGGTGAATTCAATTAAATTGAGTGGGACTGTTTAATTTATTATTCTTTGTTATTGCGTGCTCGTTATAAAATGGCGCACGTTCCTGAAAGGGGAGCGGCGAGTCCCTGAAATGGCGGATTTGCCCATTTTAATAAAGCAATAGGACGTTGAACTATGTTTTTACCAAAAATGTTTGTGTTCACCTAATTTTAGTGTTGTATGAAAAGAGTAGCCTAACGTGACTTGACTCGGGTATATTTGTATTTGTTTTTTTATTAATGGAAGCTAGTCTGCTGACTGGAAGTGACAAAGAACATCACGTGGTAAATGCCCATATATGGGTAGAGAAGGGTGTGGGCTGATGGTGTGATTATGAGTCAGAAATAACTTGTGGGCCTTTTCCTAGAGTCTGTTTATTTAGTTTTCTTTTAAGTCATGTTATATAAGAGAATAACTACTTTTTTTGTTTTGTTTACAGGTCCTTTGTGGCAACTCTGATCTTTGCTGTACCCGACAGCACGAAATTATTTGAATTCTCAGTAGAAGATTCTCTGATTCCACTTGAAATAGACAGCCATGTCTTTGATGAGCTCACGGTTTGGCCTGGACGATATGGAGGTCCTTCTCTGGGACCCATCATCACCGATGGCTGACCCTCTGCGGTCAATTCTAGATAAAGATGAAGAGGTTCTTCCTCTTGGAGGTGCTGAATCACCCCTCTCATCTTTCTCTTCCTCTTCACTTCCCTCTCTTTCCCCACCTTGTACTCCTCCCTCCCCTCAGAGGGGGGAGAAGGCTGGGCTTGATCCGGTGTCTCTGCCCTGGTTACCCTCAGATGAGCTGTGCCTAGATAATCGTGGCACAGACAGTGGTGAAGGTGAGGTGTAGACATTTGAAAACGTACATCATTTCTTTGTAAATACTTTTCCATAAGCATTTTATGGCATTCAGTTGTGAGATTAATTAATTTTTTTATTTCAGATCATTCGTTTAGTGGAATGGATTGGATGACAGAACGAATTGATCTGAGTGAGTTTGATCTGGAGTCTTTGATAGACTCTTATGATTCTGAGGATCCACCCAGTTCTCCTGAGGAGCTCATTGCTTCTCTGGAGTCACAGATTGACCTGGAGTCCCTGCCTGTAGCTTCTGACAATACTTCACCCTCTCCATCAGCCTCTGTCCCTGAAATTGATCAACTCTCCAACCTTTCATTCACTTTGAATACTCCAGTTACTACACATCTCATTCCCCCATCCCCTTGTGAAATCTTAGATTCCTCCTCGGTGGTCCCTGAGCCCCAGGCTGAGTTTGAGATCAAGTCTGAACCAGCCTCTCCAGTCCCTTCACCTTCAGTCCTTCCCCCTGAGTCCCCTACTGACACTCTTGAGCTTGGTTGCGAGGTGGACATAGCAGAAGTTCAGAGTCCATCCCCTGTAGAGTTGCGGGTTCCTAAATTTGTCCTCTCTTTGTCCCCGACCCGCATTGTTTTTGTACTTGCTCCCAAAGAGGAGGTTAATGCAATGGCTACCCATTCAGGTGAGGTGGTTGTGGAAAGTTCCCCAAGTCCAACCTTCTCTGAACCCAAAACCCCATCCTGTCCTCCGTCCCGCTCTTCTAGAGCAAAGCCCTACCTTTCCCACGATTTTAAGACCACCAAAAATCAGCAGTCAGAGTCGCCTACCCTTACAGGACGAGTGAAGTCAGCCAGTGGCTCAAAGGTTGTGGTTGAGAAGAAAAAGCTGAAGAAAATGGAACAGAACAAGACTGCGGCAACTCGCTACAGACAGAAAAAGCGTGCAGAGCAAGAGACGCTCCTGTCAGAATGTGCAGTGCTCGAGGAGAGAAATCAAGAGCTGGCAGAAAAAGCTGAGTCTCTTACAAAGGAGATCCAGTACCTGAAAGAGCTAATGGAAGAAGTCAAGAGGGCAAGAGAGAACAGAAGTTCGAGAACATAAAAGGACTCAGAAGCTGAGCAAAATTGACGGTTTAGCATAGCCTGAAGTGCAGAATGCTAGTTATGAATGTTAGTCCTAAAAGAAAGTATTATATGAAGGGTTGAAAAAAAAACTGTTGATTTCTTCCCCGGTTTCTAAATAGAAAAGCTTTTTTTTTAGCATGTCAGCTATCAACAGAGCTTTATATTTTGTATTTTTTTAGTCGTGTGTATCTTATCCTATGCACTGTATTCTAATATAATGCATTGTGTATTAAAAATGTTTAGTCCTAAAATGATGCTGTAGAAATGCTTTGTATTTAACCTTTCCCAACGATTTAATAATAGAAATTGTTTGGTGTACACATACTGAATTATCTATTTAGGAATTTTGTTTTTGTATGGACCTCTCACTGCATATCACCCAGCTTGAACCTTATATGTATATTAAACCTTTCTAAAAATAATGTTTTCTTTTGTCTGTTTTTTTTTTTTTTCATAAAGCACCATCAATGATTAATTAAAATATTTAAAGATGGCTTTGTCATTCACCACATAAATAAGTCAATTTAGACTAGGAATATTTACACATTGACATGGTATTAGTGTAATAAAATAAATGTTTTATAAATTATTAGAAGTCAATGGTCAATGTTTTAGACCAAAACTGGCATTTTAAATATAATTGTTCAGTGCAACCTTTAAATATTTACAAATGAGTTCACACTTGAAGCTGTACCTAACATAAATTGTATTCTTTATTTATATGGAAATTTGTAGTGAAAAGCAGACAAAAAGTTAAATCTTTCAGTTGTGTCAATCCAGTTGAAAGTCACATTTGAGGTTGAAATGCTAGCCTATCAACAAGTGTGGTATATATTTGTGGACAAGATAAAAAATACTATGCAATGGTAATAACCATGCACTTAACGACCAGCATATATTAAATAATGTTGACACCAGAGTCCTGAGTTTATCCTTATTAGTATCCAACCTTCAGTAGCAAAAAAGTATTCATAGTTGAACAACTGCATACATGAGAATCCAGCTCTGTTTGGGGTTTACATACTTACCTATATAGATGTTCTGATGTAATTCTGTATTTAACAATGAATGTACATGAAAAACTAAAAATAGAATAATATTGGTCATATGATTTGTTTGTTTCCACCATTCATTTTACAAAACACTTGAAAATAATAAGTAACAAAACGTGCATGCGTTTGCAATAAAGTAATTGAGTAATTGTTTACAGGATTAAAAATTATAAGTGATTTATGTGGTTTTAATAAAAGTTAATGTAACAAAAATCCAGTTCCTAAATAAATAAAAATACTGATTTGCAAATGCTTAATTTGAAATTTAATGTTCTTAAAGGCAGGTAATGTTCTTTTTAGTCATCATCACTTCTGTTGAACACAAAAAACAACGCTGGTTGATGGCACCCATTGACTTTAGTAGTATTTTTTTCCTACTATGGATTTCAATGGGTGTCATCAACCAGTATTTTTTAAAAAGGAGATTAAAACTCAAAAAATTTAAAACCACATGAAGGAAAATAAATGATTCGTTCTTTTCTTTTCATTTTTTTTTTTTTTTTTGATGAACTTTTTAACTTGTAAAACTTGTAAAAATAAATATATAATATTGATGGGAATATATTCACAAATCCTTGTCATTTTTCTAATGGAGACCTCAATGTATCTTGTACCTCTGTGTAATACAGATGTCAACATAAGTGATCGATTGTGTCAAATTCAGAGTGAATGGCCCTATAGATAATAAACATTTTCATTAATACTGCTTGTCTTTTGATGCAAAAATCAATAATGTTTACATTCATCTTGCATTTGCATTCTATTTTCTCTTATTTCTCACTGCAAACTGCACCTTCCACTCATTTCTTCATCATCTAG